ATATATATATATATATATATATATATATATATATATATATATATTCAAATGCGGTTCAGAAAAAATTGAAAAATCCCGAAAACTGAAATTATAAATGAAAAATATTGTTTCAAAATCGGAAAAACCTTCGAATCAAATAGCGCAATTTCGAAAAAATAATTCCAATTTCCACACTTAGACTTTCCCCTTTTAATCATATTGCCTCTATTTTTCTTTTCTCTTTATCTACAGCTTTTAGGGGATAAAAGAAATCTTGTGTTTGTTCCTAAGGTATTTTGTTCCTTCACCATCATCAATTCTCTCTCTCTCTCTCTCTCTCTCTCTCTCTCTCTCTCTCTCTCTCTCTCATGTTTCTCTCTCTCTAAAACACACAAGTTTCTTTCTCTCTCCTCTGTATATATAGCCAACTATATACTGTCAGCCAAGTACACTAATAAATTAACCAAACACAGCAATACATACATCAAGCTAGCTAATAATCATGAGGGAAGAGCCTCACCACCACTGTAGTAATCTCTCCCCTACAGGATTCTTCAATTTCATCCCCCTTACCAATTTACATAACTACCCTTCTCCCTCTTCTCCTTCTTCTTCTTCTTCTCCTTCAACAACAACAAACCCTACAATAAAGGAAGCCCTCCCCCTTCTCAACACCCTAAATTATTCATGCAATAATATTATTAATAATAATAATAATAATAATGAGTACTGCACCTTCAAGTGTGAGAAAAGCCACACAGATGCAGCAGTAGCACTACAAATAGGGCTACCTGAAGTTAGCCCTAGCAGCACCTCTGGTAATCTGGTAATTGATTCATCAATGGGTGTGGAGAAAGGAGAAAGTGGAGTGGAGATAGTGCTTTCTGGGATGCCTTTGAACCGGTTGAGTAATATGGGTCAATACTGGATACCTTCGCCTACACAAATACTCATCGGACCAACCCAATTTTCTTGCCACATTTGTTCCAAGACTTTTAACCGATACAACAATCTCCAGGTAATTCAATTCAATTCTTTATTTTCTTTCTTCATCATAATACATACATATATATTTATATATCTAGAGCTGTGTGTGTGTGCGTGTGTGTGATTTACAGATATAAATCACTAAATCAGCAAACCCTGTGCTTCGTTTCAGTGTGTGTGTATGTGTGTGTGTGTGGTAACCTAATTAATCTTGATTGGTCTAGCTAGCTAGCTATAGCTAGTTAATTCTACTAGCAATATATATATATATATATATATATATATATATATATATATATATATATATATATATATATATATATATATATATATATATATATATATATATTTTTTTTTTTATTTTTTTTTATGGGATACATGGGTTCTTGGATCCCATGAAATATTATATGAATTAAATCATTTCTTGATTTTTAGATATTTAATTTGCAGGAAAAAATGAATATTCAAGAATGGTATTTAGGGTCTAAAAATTTCTTCTCTAATTAGTTTGATCAGATTTCAATTTAATTGAAAAAAATTAAAAAAAAAAAAAAAAAAGAGAAATCCAACTGCTAGCTGCAGATTTTGTTTTTGTTTATGTTTTTTTTTGTTTATGTTTTTTTTTCTGGGTACTGAGATTTATTTATTTGAACAATATATATAAAAATAAAAATTAGTTAATAGACAGTGTAGTCAAGTCATGTCTAGGTTGGGAAAACAAAGGTCAGTTTTAAGATTCAACAGTCACTTCTGCATGTCTTGTGTCAATCAGCTCCTATGTTTGGCTCTTTTCACTCACAACCTGAGAATTATTTTTATATATTAAAATGTGTATCTTTATTTTTTTCTCTAGCTATGTCGAATAAATGCTGCATTAAAATAAATTATATATACCTTTCTTATTTTGCTTTTATTATGATTATTATAATCTTTTTGGATATTAACAATAAATATTTTGCTATTTACTTTCACTTCTTTCTTGGATAATTCCTGTTCAATTTAGATAAATTGGTAATTTCTTTAATTAATTTATTTCTTGGACTTTAATTAATCATCTGTAAATAAATGGGAGAGATGGAAATTGGGCTGAACTAAAACTGTTGACAACTTTGAATTCTGTGCAAAACACTGTTATACTCAGCCAAATGCATGTGCTTCAAAATTGAAACCAGACAACTTGCAAAGTTATAGCTGTTTCTTGTGTGTGTGTGTGTGTGTGTGTGTGTGTGTGTGTGTCTTTATATTTATATTTATACAGCAAAAGTAATGCATGTTGTGCTTATTTTTTCTTACAGAATTTGTCTCTGTGTGTGATTTTATTTTATAATTTAATATTTTTTATAAAGAGAATGTTTCAGTTACATGAGTTTATTAAATTAACCTAATTTATTGCTCTTTTTAATTATTAATTTGGAATATAATATATCATTAAAAATAATATATTATTTAATACATTATATAAATAAATAATTAATTACCTACATATATCATATTCTTGTGTACATTTTCTTGAAATAGATGCATATGTGGGGCCACGGATCGCAATACCGAAAAGGGCCGGAATCGCTAAGAGGAACGCAGCCGACGGCAATGCTGAGGCTTCCGTGCTACTGCTGCGCACCGTCATGCAAGCACAATATAGACCACCCGAGGGCGAAGCCGCTCAAGGATTTCCGAACCCTACAAACGCACTACAAGAGGAAGCACGGCGCGAAACCGTTTGCATGCAGGAAGTGCGGCAAACCCTTCGCCGTGAAGGGAGATTGGAGGACTCACGAGAAGAACTGCGGTAAGATATGGTACTGCGTTTGCGGTTCCGATTTCAAGCACAAGCGGTCGCTTAAGGACCACATTAAGGCCTTTGGACACGGCCACGGTGCTAATTGTAGTAATAATTTTGAGTTGCATTCCGATCGGTTTGAGGAGGATGACGAGGAGGAGGAGTACACGTCGGAGATTGATCAGCATGGCGGCGGCGGTGGTGGCGGCGGCGGCGGCGGTGGTGGTGGTGGAGAGTCTCCAATGTGAATTATCTATATATATGCATGGAGAATTTGAGGGTTTATGATGTAATTGGTTTTTGTGTTTCACATTGGTATGGGAAAGATGAGTTTGCACTTTTTTTCTCTAAAGATTTGTTTCTTTTTCATCTAATTTAATTACCTACACTTAGTTTTTTTTTTTATATGTAAATATGACTTGTTTGTGTTGGTGTAATATATGAGGGTTTTGATGATCAATTTGAACCTCACTACAAGAAAATAAAAAATGGAATTAGTGACAAGCTGATTGTGAGAATATAAAAGTTGTAATTAAATATTAGTGACGACATTTTTTATGTTGTCACTAATTGCTCATCTTGTCGTCGCTTAATCCGTTTTTTTATTGTCGCTAAATAGAGTTAGCTGGCGACGGCTTATTAGTTACAAGCATAGTCACAATTTTGCCTAACTATATAGTTGTTGTCGCTCAAAAGATTGTTACATGTAGAGTCTAGTCCATTATTTTTATCTTTATTTAGTTCGAAATACATTTATTTATTTACCGTCCGTGAAAACAAACTTAATTATTATCGTCAAATATAATCCAACTACACAATATGAAAATTTCTCGTGACCATATTATTTACATAATTGTATTAAGTTGAATCTAAGATTTAGTTTAAGTGGTTTCGAAGCTTCTCATATTGTAGGTGCGCAATGGCAGATTTCAACCGGTACAATGACTGCTACCAAGATTCGATTTTTATTTCCGACCATATATACTTAGTTAACTTAGTTAGCATACAAAATGTATCACTTAGACCACTTTATACTTAATTATAATCACTGAAACCCCTGAAAATACCTTTTAAAAAACAAATTTGTGCAAATACACTAGATTTTATACAATAGGTTACCGAAGAAGTCGACTAGGGCTTCTTTCTTTTTCAACATTAGCAACTAAGAGACTAAACTACTCTTTGCTTTGTATATTATTGGAACTTTGGTTGCACTTTGACGATCTCGTAATTAGGGAGTTGAGACTCGGACTCCAATTGCTCTCTCCTTGTATAGTTCACAAACAACTGCTACAAAAAAACCACGATATTATGAAGCTAGGCAAGGTGATGCGCTGTCTACTAGGTCGCTCTCTTAAGACGAATTTCACGATCCCATCTCAAAGAGGTGCAGAAAAGTTCCGATCGATCGTATCGCCAATGGAATACAACAGCCCATCTTATTTTTCTGTTGCAGTTTCACTGAAACTGCACATTCAAGTGAAGCAGAAGCTTACAAGTTACACCCGACACACAAATGTTAATATAGAGAATATAGGATCTTTAAAACAATATTTCTTCGCTCATTCATCTTTGAAAGCCACAAAATCCCCTTTTTGTAGAATAAAATATACCACTATAAAACTTCTATTTATTGTAGAATTAAAGAAATTTACAGAGGTCTTATGACGCAAAATAAACTTTTGTAGGTTTCGGAATGTTGCTCTAAATTTATCTCATAATTTGGTCAAAGAAAATATTATTTTTATTTAAAAACCCCAATATATATATATATATGTATATATATATATATATATATATATATATATATATATATATATATATATATATATATATATATATATATATATATATATATATATATATATATATATATATATTTTCCCCCGCACACAGACGGTGTGAGAGAGAGAGAGAGAGAGACAATAGCTA